TTTGACATTACTTTAACTGCAATGAGCCCATGCTATGGAAGTTGTTGTTTAGCCTTCTTAGTTTAGACGCAGGTTCGCAGCTTGGGAGTGATCCTGGACTCATCGGTGAGCCTGAAACCCCAGGTTTCGGAGGTGACCAGGGGAGCATTTGCACAATTAAAACTTGTGCACCAGCTGCGCCCATACCTTGGGAAATCTGACTTGGCCACAGTGGTCCACACTCTGGTTACATCCCATATAGACTACTGTAACGTGCTCTACATGGGGTTGTCTTTGAAAACTGCTTGGAAGCTTCAAATGGTCCAGCGTGTGGCAGCCAGGTTATTAGCAGGAGCGGCGCTCAAGGAGCATACAACTCCTCTGTTGTGCCAACTCCACTGGCTGCCAATTTGCTACTACGCACAATTCAAAGTGCTTTAGCCTATAAAACCCTAAACGATTCTGTCCCAGCTTATCTATTCAAACGCATCTCTCCCTATGAACCTTCCAGGAACTTGAGATCATCTGAGGAGGCCCTGCTCTCGATCCCGCCTGCTTCACAAACACATTTGGTGGGGACAAGAGACAGGGCCTTCTCTGTGATGGCCCCTCAGCTGTGGAACTCCCTGCCTAGGAATATTAGATTGCTCCCCTCCCTCCTCACGTTTTGAAAAAGAGTGAAAACCTAGCTCTTTGGGCAAGCGTTTGGAACCACAGCATGACCAGAAAAACTCAAATCGGAAAATGAACTAGGAACGGCTAAGATGGTGGAACAGTTGAGGATTTGAACAAGAAGACATAGTTTTATAATTTTTATTATTCATTGCTTTTATGGTTTTTTAAATGTATTGTGATTTTTTTTGCTTTTTCTTGATGTATGTATTTTTATATATGGCATCTAATTGCTGTTGACTTGTACGCCGCCCTGAGTCGCCTTCAGGCTGATACGGGCGGGATACAAATGATGTAAATAAAAAAACAATTCTCTGCCAAACTGCAAATTGCCGGCCACACATCCAGGAGGTGTCTACGGACGCAGGCTCCTTGGCTAGGAAATGGAGAAAGAGCAACTCCCCCAGAGCCAGAAATGAGCAGCGCCTCCAAGAGCTGGAAATGAAAGGAGAAGCCTTTGCCTTTGTCTGTGTATTTGTCATTGTGTTATTGTAACCCTGAATGTTCCCGCTTTGAGCCCCCTTGAGGAGAAGGGTGGAATATAAATAAAGTGTTGTTGTTGTTAGTGGTGTCAAGTTACTTTAATTGTAGAATGCTGATAATACTACTTCTAAGAAAGTTACAAAGATTCTACATGTTGCTCTGCAGCAATTAAACTAAGCTGAGGACAAAGGAGGACAATGGGAGGAGCACATACTGTCAGTGTATGATTTATGTATGATGTATGTTTAAATGCAATTTTATGTGATAGGATTGTGATTGTAATAGACTGTAATAGAATTGTATTGCCAGGATGTATGTTTACACAAAAGAGCTGTGAGAATGTGACCCCGAGTTTCTTGCTGTGTGAAGAATTAGGGAGTGTCAGAAATAACTCCTTTCCAGCTGCAGTTTGTCTTTAGTGCCTATCTCTTTCGCTTTGTTGTTCTTCACGTCTGTTCGCTGATGGTGTGTGTTGATTTATGAACTGCTCAAGTAAAGCTGAAACATGCTTTTTACCAGTGGCTCCAGAGTCCATTATTCAGTGCTTCCGCGATTCCTCTTCTAGCCCTAACACATACTTCATACTTCAAGAGAAGAACCAATGGTTTCTGCTTAATGTGAATGTGGCAGATCTGTGTTTTGTTGACATGTGTATTTGTAATGTATACATTGAGTTAATTTAGATACTTTCACTTTACCACAATCAGTGGATTTTGGTCTCCACAGTTTTAGGGGAACCCATTTTTCTTTTCAGTAGCACAGAGAAACCGGGACATTTTAGGGGAGGCTGAAAAGATGGGATGGCAGAAACTCAACCAGGGTTGTCCTTTCCAAACCAGGACAATTGGAGGGTACATGCAGGATCTCTTTTCTTGGGCTAAATGCAAAAGCCAGCCTTTGAATCAGCCCAAGGCCATGGCAGTTTGTTGACTTGCTGCACGGTGTGCCACGGATGAATCCTGCCGTTCTGACACAACCCCATTTTGTCAAAACCTCCCCTTGATGCCTGAAAAGCATTTCCAGCCCCACATCACTTCATTAAAGTTTCATGGTGCTGCAATCGTCTCCCGCAACGCCACGACCGCCTGCCTTCCTCCGATTTCATATTCATGTCTAGACACGCTGCTAATTCACAGAGCCTCTTTTCCAAGGAACGTTGGGAAACTTCAAAGCCCATCTTGTACAGCCGGCAGAACGAACTGGAGCGGTTCATGCGATGGGCTCAGAATGAGAGGAGCATGGGAGGCGCCCGAGCATGAAAGGCTGCAGGGCCGCAAGCGCTCCTCCTCGTGAACGCGGCCCTCCAGCAACTCAGGGAAAGAGTGGGTGGAAGAAAGCCTTGCTAGGAACACTCCATGGCATGGATGGCTTTCCAAAGTTTTACGAAGAGTAAAAATGATCAGAGTGCTGAAGAAGCTGGAAATAGTGGGGAGCGCCCATTGTTACCTTGAGCCATGTTCAGTGAAAACACTCATTATAGAACGTTAGGGGGCTCTCTAACTTGGGGGCCACATGCTAGCACTCCCTGCTAGGAGGGCTGGTATGGAAGGAAGGAAAGGAAGGAGGAAGGAAAGATGAAAGGCCAGAAAGGAGGGATGGAAGGAGAAAGTGGGAGAGAAGGCGGGAAGGAGGGAGGAAAGGAAGGAAGGAAGGACGGAAGGGAGGGAGGGAGGAAGGAAGGAAGGAAGGGAAGGAGAAAGAAGTAGAGAGGGAAGGAGGAAGGGAAGGAGGAAAGAAAAAAAGATGAAAGGGAGGAAGGGAAGGATGGAAAGAAGGAAGGGAAGGAGGAAAAAGAAAGGCAAGGAAGGAAGAATGAAAGTAAGGAAGGAAGGATGGAAGGAGAAAGAGGGAAAGATGGAAGGAAGCAGGGAAGAGAGAGGGAAGGGAAGACAAAAGGGAAGGAAGGAAGGAAGGAACAAAGGAACGAAGAAAGAGGGAGAAAGGGAAGGAAGGAAAGGAAGGAGGAAGGAAAGAAAGAAGGAAGGAAAGACGAAAGGGCAGAAAGGAAGGATGGAAGGAGAAAGAGGGAGAGAAGGAAGGAGGGAAGAAAGGGAGGAAGAGAGGAAGGAAGGGAGGGAAGGATGGAAGGAGAAAAAAGTAGAGAGTGAAGAAAAAAGAAAAGATCAAAGGGAGGAAGGGAAGGATGGAAAGAAGGAAGGGAAGGAGGAAAAAGAAAGGCAAGGAAGGAAGAATAAAAGGGAGGAAGGGAAGGATGGAAGGAGTAAGAGGGAGAGATGGAAAGAGGCAGGGAAGAGAGAAGGAAGGGAAGACAAAAGGGAAGGGAAGGAGGAAAGAAGGAATGAAGGAAGAAAGAGGGAGAGAGGGAAGGAAGGAAAGGAAGGAGGAAGGAAAGAGAGAAGGAAGGAAAGATGAAAGCGCAAAAAAGAAGGATGGAAGGAGAAAGTGCGAGAGAGGGAAGGAGGGAGGAAAGGGAGGAAGGGAGGAAGGAAGGGAGGAAGGAAGGAAGAAAGGAAGGAAGGGAAGGAGAAAGAAGTAGAGAGGGAAGGAGGACAGAAAGAAGGAAAGAAAAAGATGAAAGGTAGGAAGGGAAGGATGGAAGGAGAAAGAGGGAGAGATGGAAGGAGGCAGGGAAGAGAGAAGGAAGGTAAGACAAAAGGGAAGGGAAGGAGGAAAGAAGGAATGAAGGAAGGAAGAGGGAGAGAGGGAAGGAAGGAAGGATGAGAGGGTGGAAGGGAAGGATGGAAGGAGAAAAAGAGAGAGAGGTAAGGAGGAAGGAAAATGAGAAGGAAGGAAAGACAAAAAAGAGGGAAGAATGAAAGGGTGGAAGGGAAGGATGGAAAGAAGGAAGGTAAAGAGGAAAGAAAAAGACAAGGAAGGAAGAACAAAAGGGAGGAAAGGAAGAATGAAAGGAAGGAGAAAGAGGGAGAGATGGAAGGAGGCAGGAAAGAGAGAAGGAAGGAAGGAAAGAAGGTACAAAGGAAGGAAGGAGAAAGAGGGGGAGAGGGAAGAAAGGAAGGACAAAAGGGTGGAAGGGAAGGATGGAAGGAGAAAGAGGGAGGTAAGGAGGAAGGGAAATGAGAACGAAACAAAAGGGAGGGAAGATTGAAAGGGTGGAAGAGAAGAATGGATGGAAGAAAGAAAGGGCAGGAGGATGGAAATAGAGAATGAAGGAAGGATGAAAGGGTGGAAGGGAATGGCGGGCAGGAGAAAGAGAAAAGAAGGAAGGAAGGAAAGACAAAGGGAGGGAGGGAGGGAAAGATGAAAGGGAGGAAAGGAAGGAAGGAGGGAGGAGGAAAGAGGCAGGTAAGGAAGGGAGGAAGGGAAGGGGGAAGAAAAGAGAGAAGGAAGGAAGGATAGAATGGTAAGAGAGAGGAGGGGCTGAGAAAAGAGCCCAAGGGGCTGCATCTGGTGCCATGACCTGAGTTTGCCCATACCTGGTCTACATTGTAGAATCAAGGCAGTTCCATATCACTTGAACTGCCTTGGCTCAATATCACAAAACTGTGGGAGTTGTAGTTTTACAAGACCATTCTGCCAAAGAGTGCAGGTGCCCAACTATAACTCCTATGATACCATAGCTATGAGGCATGGAAGTCAAAGTGGTGTCAAACTGCATTAATTCAATAGTGTAAATGCACCTATAGTTTGGGAAGGGACCACAAAGGTCATCTAGTCCAGATCAGGCCCATTGGGCAAAACCCTGCATTACGCCTTAATTGCCTACCACGGTTGCTTGCAGCCCATGATTAAAACACATAAATACATATATTACTGACACTCCCGTTTCCAAATTAAGATTCCTAGGTAGATCCCCTCTTTGAGAATTCCTGGATATGTTTTCTGATGCAGCCAGAGTACTCTGGCCCCATTTGGCAAACAGTAAGGGATGTAATGAGGAAACTCACATTTTCTGACCGCAGCTTCTTTGCCGGACAGCCTCCGTCTAACGGATGGAGCATGTAGTAAAGCCGCACTTTGCTCGCATGTTTCCGACTCTGCAAAGGAAAACCAAGATCAAGAAAGCTAAACTTTGACGGATGGCAGAGAAACGAGAAAACCAGTCAATTTGTACATACATACTTTCCTCATTGGTTACACGGGCACAAATACCCCATACGCCCAAATTTGAACAACTGTGGGGTTGAGGGGGATTGATTTTGTCATTTGGGAGTGGTAGTTGCTGGGATTTATAGTTCACCTACAATCAAAGAGCATTCCGAACTCCATGAACCATGGAATTGAACCAAACTTCCATGATCAAGAGAACATAATGGAAAGGTTTGATGGGCATTGACCTTGAGTTTTGGAGTTGTAGTCCACCTACATCCAGAGAGCACCATGGACTCAAACTATGATGGATCTGGACCAATCTTGACATGGATATGCAAATATACTCAAATGTGAACACTGGTGTAGTTTGGGGAAAATAGACCTTGACATTTGGGAGTTGTGGATGCTGGGATTTATAGTTCACCTACAATCAAAGAGCATTCTGAACTCCATGAACCATGGAATTGAACCAAACACCCATTATCAAGAGAACATAATGGAAAGGTTTGGTGGGCATTGACCGTGAGTTTTGGAGTTGTAGTTCACCTACATCCAGACAGCACCGTGGACTCAAACAATGGATCTGGACCAATCTTGACATGGATATGCAAATATACTCAAATGTGAACACTGGTGTAGTTTGGGGGAAATAGGCCTTGACATTTGGGAGTTGTCGTTGCTGGGATTTATAGTTCACCTACAATCAAAGAGACCCTTGAACCCCACCAACAATAGAATTGGGGCCCACACAAAACCCCCATGCCTTGAAGGGATCCACTGTCATTAGCCTGGTGGGGTTGGGGGGGACTGATTTTGTTGTTTGAGAGTTGTAGTAGCTGGGATTTATAGCTCATGTACAACCAAAACGCATTCTGAACTCCACCAATGATGGAAATGAACCAGACTTGGCACACAGAACTCCCATGACCAAGAGAAAGTACTGGAAGGGCTTGGTGGGCATTGACCTTGAGTTTTGGAGTTGTAGTTCACCTGCATCCAGAGAGCACTGTAGACTCAAGCAATGATGGATCTGGACCAAACTTGGCACGAATCCTCAATATCCCCAAATGTGAACACTGATGTAGTTTGGGGAAAATAGACTTTGATATTTGGGAGTTGTAATTGCTGGGATTTATAGTTCACCTACAATCCAAGAGCATTCTGACCTCCACCAATGATGGAATTGAACCAAACTTGGCACTCAGAACTCCCACAACAGAAAATACTGGAATTGTTTGGTGGGCTTTGACCTTGAGTTCTGGAATTGTAGTTTACCTACATCCACACAGCACTGTGGACTCAAACAGTGATGGATCGGGACTAAATTTGGCACTGATACTCAATATGCACAAAGGTGAACACTAGTGGGAAAACAGACCTTGACATTTGGGAGTTGTGGTTGCTGGGATGTATAGTTCACCTTCAATTAAAGAGCATTCTGAACTCCACCAATGATGGAATTGAACCAATCTTGGCACACAGAACTCCCATGACTGGAAGAGACACCCAAAGCAATTGACAATACTAAAAAAAATACAATATATAATTCAAAATCCAGTTCAAAAATGAAATTCAGCAAACCGAAAGCCCAGCAAAATCCAGAGGCCGATATTTCGGAAAGGGCTCAGCCATGCCTCTTTGGCGCTCTTTGCCACGAAGGCAACTTGTGAGACTGAGCTTGGAGCACTGCGCAAGCCCCATGCGGCTTCAGCTGCGCACTGCAGCAGCAGCAACGGCAACAGGCTCCAAACAAAGATGATGGATAGAAATGTAATAACTGAAAAAACCAGCGGGAGTATTGGAGGGTGAAAGGGCTGCAAATACCTGAGCTCAATCAAATCCCTGCCTGCCGCCTGGGCATGAAAAATGGCATGTGACATTGGACGCAGCGGAGAACATTGTGCCCAAAGCATCAGGAATTCCAGGTGCAAAAGTCAAGGAGGGGGAAAAGCTTGGCTGAAGAAACCCCTAACTGTTTTCCCCCTAATGGTTAATGGATGGATCCGTGGTCCCTTTCTCCAGAGACCTTATAGGGCCGAAGCAAATAATAATAATAATAATAATAATAATAATAATAATAATAATAATAATAAACATTTATTTATACCCCGCTACCATCTCCCGGAGGACTCAGTGCGGCTTATAAGAGGCCGAGCCCAAATAAAAACAACAACAGTAAAAACAACAACAAACAACATCAGTAAAAACAACAACAAACAACAATACAAGAAAAGGCGCAGGTTCGCAGCTTGGGTGTGATCCTGGATTCATCGCTGAGCCTGGAGCCCCAGGTCTCGGCGGTGACCAGGGGAGCATTTGCACAGCTTAGGCTCGTGCGCCAGCTGCGCCCGTACCTTGGGAAGTCTGACTTGGCCACGGTAGTCCACGCTCTGGCTACATCCCGTTTACCCTTGTTGTCCCAGCTCCATTGGCTGCCGATTTGCTACCGGACCCAATTTAAGGTGCTGGTTCTGGCCTACAAAGCCCTAAACGGTTCCGGCCCAAAATACCTTTCGACCGCATCTTGGCCTATGAGCCCACGAGGACCTTGAGATCGTCTGGGGAGGCCCTTCTCTCGATCCCGCCTGCCTCACAGGCACGTTTGGCGGGGACGAGAGATAGGGCCTTCTCGGTGGTGGCCCCCCGGCTGTGGAACACTCTCCCTGCAGACATCAGACAGGCGCCCTCCCTCATGTCCTTCCGAAAAAGCCTCAAGACATGGCTGTTCGAGAAGGCATTTAATTAGTGCTTTAACAATGTGGTAAAGATGATTGGAATGGAACAAGGAATATGAGATTGGTTATGATTCCACTAAGAGACGAAGCGGATTTTTAGCGTAGTTTTTTTGTAATTGTTATGTAGTTTATATGTTGTTGTAATTGCCTTTTTGTAAATTGTCCTTTATGTGTGTGTACACCGCCATGAGTCGCCCTAAAGGGCTGAGAATGGTGGTTAATAAATGCATCAAATAAATAAATAAATAAATAAATAATAGACTACTGCAACGCTCTCTACGTGGGGTTGCCCTTGAAGACGGCCCGGAAGCTCCAACTGGTCCAACGTGCGGCAGCCATGATACTAACAGGAGCGGGACGCAGGGAGCATACCACCCCCCTGCTGTACCAGCTCCACTGGCTGCCGATCTGCTACCGGGCTCAATTCAAGGTGCTGGCATTGGCCTATAAAGCCCTAAACGGTTCCGGCCCAAGATACCTAACAGACCGCCTCTCGGCCTATGAGCCCACCAGGACTTTGAGATCTTCCGGGGAGGCCCTGCTCTCGATCCTGCCTGCGTCACAGGCACAGCTGGCGGGGACGAGAGATAGGGCCTTCTCGGTGGTGGCTCCTCGGCTGTGGAACACCTTTCCCGTAGACATCAGGCTAGCCCCCTCCCTGTTGATATTCCGCAGGAAGTTAAAGACCTGGCTGTTTAAGAAAGCATTTGAACAAGAAGTGCAATGACTGGTAATCTGACCATAGGAATGGAACAACGGAAATGATATCGGATTGTGAATTTGACGATGAGACGACTCGGAATTGGCTTTTGTAGTAATGTTGATGTTTTGAGGAGATGTTTTTTGATAATGATGAATTGTGGATTATTTTACACTATGTTTTGTATTTTGCACCTGTTTTTCTATGTTGTACACCGCAATGACTCGCCCTAGGGCTGAGAATTGCGGTATACAAGCGAAGTAAATAAATAAATAAATAAATAATAAATAAATAAATAAATAAATAAATAATAAAATAAACTCAAAAACAAAGCAATAAACATTAACAACACACCACGATGTATTAAAATCTATGGCAGGGCCAAATGTAATAATTAAAATTTAAAAAATATGCTGGGCATGACCAGGTGAAAAGGGTAGGTATTTGGAGGGGGATGGGCAAGCAGATATCCTGGATCTCTAGTAAAGTGCATTTGGGGACATAATGCTTGGGGTTTCCTTATTCTGGGAAGGCACACTGGAACAACTACGTTTTCAAGCTCCTCCTAAAAATTGCCAGCGTTGGGGCATGCCCGATGTCCTTAGGGAGAGAGTTCCAGAGTCAAGGGGCCACCACCGAGAAGGCCCTGTCCCTCGTCCCCACCTATCGCGCTTGCAATGCAGGTGGGATCGCGAGCAAGGCCTCTCCAGATGATCGAAGAGATCGTGTGGGTTCGTAAACAGAGATGCGGTCACGCAGGTAGGCGGGTCTCAAACCGTTTAGGGCTTAGTAGATAAGCACCTAAATGCAAATTAATTTTGGAGAAAAATGCAAATTAATTTTGAAACCAACCCTGAGACAGGGCTCAGCATCTCTTGAAAGCAGAAGGAATTCCAAGTGGACAGCTGAGTTCACATAGAGAATGAGCATGATGCTTTGGATTTTGGACTATGACTCTGGAAACCAGGAGTGAATGCAGTTTGACATCATGTTGACCGCCATGGCTCAATGCTATGGAATCATGGGAGATGTCGTTTTAGAAGTTTTGGAGCCTTCTCTGCCAAAGACTCCTGGTTCCAAGGATTCCATAGCATTGAGCCATGAAAGTGGTTGCAAACTGCATTCATTCGACAGTGTAGATCAGAAACCCAGGGGGTTTCAGAAGGGTCACCGAAGACCATCAGAAAACACATCTTTCTGATGGTCTTGGGAACCTCTTGGACAGAGAAGGATGAAGATCGCTCCGCGTGGCCTTCTCTTCCTTTTTGGAAACAGACAGCGGCAAATCCTATTTTCCCCAAACTCCACCAGTGTTCACATTTGGGCATATTGAGGATTCATGCCAGGTTTGGTCCAGATCCATTACTGTTTGAGTCTACAGGGCTCTCTGGATGTGTGGGGTACAGAATGCTCTTTGATTGTAGGTGAACTATAAATCCCAGCAACTACAAATCCCAAATGTCAAGGTCTATTTTCCCCAAACTACACCAGTGTTCACATTTGGGCATAT